TGCTTGTAAATCTGATGGTTCAGGGAAAGGAAAAGAGTGTTGAGGCACAATGACATGCTTGGAAGCGAAGGGTTTAATAGGGTGGAAGCTTTGACTGCCTCAAATTTGGAGGATAAGTTCCTTCCAATATCTGTAAACCCTATACTTAAATGATTAAGAAACAAGCTTCATGGGGACACTCAAAGCTCTTCCTTCTGCATTTATTTGGCATCAGATCAAAATTCATTCAACAGATAAAGGTAAATAAATTAAAACAATACAGTAATAATTAGAAAATAACTTGGTATATCTTCTGGCAAAGGCCCATCTAGGGTTTGAAAAGGGGTGTGCAAATCTGGTACCCGCCTAGGTTTTCGGGTACCCACTACATTCAGGTCAGTGATTTCTCGACCCGGATATTTAGGTTACCCGGATTTTGCGGGTACATGTATTTTGGGTATTCATTTTTTTTCATTTTTAAATTATTAATTTTAAAAATATATATACATAAATTTAAATGTTCGAAACTTCGAATTACATACTCCAACATCCGAACATAAAATTTAAAAGTTCTAAATATAAAATCTAATAATCATAATATAAATAATCCATTATATATATATATATATATATATATATATATATATAAACTAATCGGGTACTCGCGTAATCGGCTACCCGGAAAACTTCAATTTTGTGACCCGGCCAGGTAAAATTTTTAGAAAATTACCCGATTTTTTTAAGTTTTTATCAACAGATCGGGTCAACCGGGTTGGATAGTTTTGCACACCCTTGGTTTGATGAGCCATAGTCCTTAATTGGTAAAATTATAAAGAGGCTCCTCTTCAAAATATCTATTTATAATTTAATGCACGTTAAAAATTATATTTTTGCTCCCTAAAATGATTAAACGGTGATTTAGTTGTTTTAAAAACTGTAAAATTATATTTTAACTCTCAACCATATGTATAATTTAAGTTCAGCCCCTAGTGAAAATCTTAACAAGCACCAATTCTCTAACCAGAAAAGGTTAATAGCAGCCTAGCCCAATTACAACATTGCAAAACCAACTTAAACGAAAGAGGCCCATTTCCCCTTGTTTTCTGCAGAACAAGAAGGGGGAAATTTTTCCTTTAGACTGAATTTCCTGCTCTTGGTTACAAAACGATAATGTACATTGAGAACAGCCAATGAGAATGGCAAAGGCACAAATTTACATAAGCTAAATGCAGGGTATGGCCTCCAAACATTTAGTCAACAGTCAGTTATACATCATAGGGAGAAGGGGAAGCTAACTCAGAGCTTGGAGTATCATACAAAGAGATGTTCAGCTTATGAAACGATCGCCATTCGTCCATCACGACCATTTTATCTGGATTCAACCCAGGAAGTGGTGTTTTATGGAGGAGTTTCAGAATCGCTTCGGTTTTCCCCAGAACATGAGCTGCATGCCGCACACTTTTTTCTCTTTCTTCTACTTGACCTTAATGAACCGCTTTAAATTGGTGAGACAAGCAGCCAATATATCAGAAACCATCACCCTTATGGCTTCGAATAATCTTTCCTCCATCCTGTAATGTTTGGCTTCGTAGTCTAGCAAAATGGATTGGCATATTCTATACATGGAATTAGCAGCCAACACTTTGATAGGCCACTTTGAAGGGTCATCCAGTAGGCACAGATTCGCATTGCACTTCTTAAACTCCATTAATATGTTCTTTGCTGAATCGGAAAGTACTTGCAGTATTTCATTTGTGTTTTTTTCCTTGGAGAGACAGTTTACGAAGGTCGACATCTAGCCACCTATGATACAACTCAACTCCTAGCCACACAACATCAGCGGCCTTCCTGCTGTTTACCAGATTCCCTTGCATGTCCTCTATGTTTCTGACATACACCAAACCTTCATTTACTCCGGCTATAAGACGTTTGATTGAGCAGCTTTCGATGTTTGGAACTGCAATTGCTATGCCAGTCAGTGTCACCAAAGAAAGAGACCAACAATTCGGAGCTTCTTCGGTATCTAGAGAGGGTACTTTGAAACTATCAAACTCGGTAAGTCCCTTGAATCCTTCACAAGGTCTTGATAGTTCCAACAGTTCATTGAGATATTTTGGCTGTCTTTTCTTTGCTTTCTGCCTCCAGTATTCAGTAGCATCTCGATTTTCCTTCATCATTAGCTCAACCAGCGATTCTTCACCTTCAAGATGTAAAACAAAACGGCTGAGATCCAGCTTTGAGCTATGGAGTAACTCTGATCCTGAGTCATTCCCAATGCTGTTGTCAGGTGTGAATTTCATCAGCCGGTCTCTAAAGCAGTTGTAGCTTAACAAAATCATAGACATAATAAAAACCGAGATGAGACGAATTACTTTGCTGATGAACACAATTCCAGCCTGAATCCCAATACAAAAGTTCAGAAATTTGACTTTTGCATCATGGGCAATTCTCCTGCATAGCCGATTACGTACCGGTATGTTCAAAGGGCACTCTTTCATCTCCACCAATATCCTAATCCAGTATTCTTCTAGTTTGTACCATCTGGTGGTGTTACCTTTCTTCTTGCTTCTCGTTGGACACCTGAAATTGATAGCAAGAAACCATCTCATTGCAGGGGCAATTGTACCCATCCCAACTGCAAAAGCCTGTGTAAGTAACACTAAATTGATTGACCACTTATAATCAGAATCCCCCTTGCAGAACTTCAACGACCCTGGCATCAGATAAAATCGAACCATGGCTTCGGCTAACGTTGCGGCACTGAACAGACAAAAGGCACCCGAGGCAGTACATGTAACTGATCTACCAATAACAAACTGAGGACTACATCTACCAATAACAAACTGAGGACTACAAGTATGAGCCATCATCCAATGTATCATCAACGCTTCTCTGAGCTTATCCTCTAATGACTTGGTTTCATTCGCCACCGAGAATTCTTTCTGAGCCATTTCATACTTCTTTTTGTATTTAAGTTCTAAATAGTGCTTAATCGTAGGAACAGTCAAAGCCGAAAAGCTTAAAACAATTAGCAAAACAAGCATGAGAAACATTATGACAGCATGTTCCAATTCAAACACAAAGATGACACCAGTACCAGCTGAATGTAGATATTGACTACAACAGTGACCACAAGTATACCCAAAGCTATGATATTGGTAAGTATTTCTTTGTTCTCCATGGTTCCTATAGAAGGCATAGAGTTACCCATTACCGTGCAGATCAAGGCGGTGCTGCTGAGCTTCGCGAGCTGATCTTGTCCCCGAGGCATGGGAGTGTTCAAATCAACCGATAGTTTGACGGCCACGGTTATTACTGTCAACGAAGTGGCGTTGATGGTGAAGAATTTGCAAGGGAACCAGAGTTCCAATGGCGGAATCCATGGATAACGTCGGCAGCCATAGCCACCGCACAGGCGAGAGACGCTGCTGCTATGTAGACACCGATCCACGGCAGTGGTGTGGTTCACTGAACTTGGCTTCATTCAGGACCCCATCGACGCCGCACCCAAGGTTGTCCATCTTCTTCTTCCCGGTGTTTAACTGTGTTGAGGCCCTTGAGGATGCATTTTTCTTTTTGTTAACCCTCCGCCATTGAATTTTTATGAAGTCTCTGGTCGTCTTTGTTTCCAGGTTTAATTACCGTTTTGGAACTTTAATTATTGTTGGATTTGAACCGTTTTTACTAGTGGTGATGAGGGTACAATTGGTAATTAAAATTGGTTGATCCAATGAATCTTATTCAAATTTGATACGTCTTTAATATGATGATGTCTGAGTTATTAAGTGGGAGACTCTTTGGACTTATAGGCTATTATTACCTAATGGCTGATGTTATTATTTATCTAATAATATTAAATTTATTCTTTAATCATTTTGTCAAAACTTGATTTAGCAATCGTCGAAACGTGGCAAGCCACACTGTCGAGGAAGCATAGGGTAAAATTAGGGTTTTAAATGAGATTTTACCGATATGAATTATTCGAGTTTAATGTAATCAAAGTTTAGTTTAATATTCAATTTGATGAGTACGACAACTCAAATTTAATTTAAAACGAGCTATCTGATACCATAATAAAAATTTTATGAACAATTCAAAAATTTTATTATAAAATTTTAAACTAAATTTATATTTATATGTTTTCAAAATTTAATATAAAATGCACGAACCAAACGCCCTCGGTAATAAAGAAATTGTTGTTATTCTTTAAGGTTTCGGATTTAATCACCATGAACGTCAGGAGATGGTAGCGTTTAATGTCAAATGGTTGAGAGTTATCTTTAACCAAATAATGTCTTGTACTTAAACCAGATTAACAAAAAAATATAATATAAGATTTTTATATACTTAAAGTCCATGTTCGAATTTAAATTTAGCTAAATCTGAGAATATTTTAAGTTTTTTGAGTTTAAGTTCAAGTCGAACTTGACAATTATAAACTCGTGAACCTTTGATTCTAATTTATCTCAACTTAAATTTTTTGAATTGAATTGATCTCAACCATACTCGAACTCGACTACATCCATAAATAAAATATTATTATAAACTAGAACCATTTTTTGATGTTTGTTCGGATACAAAAATATTTAATTAAATAATATATTTTTATATAATAATTATGGAATTAATTTATGATAAATATAAAGGAAATTCAAAACTATCCAAACAGTGATTTGTTATAATAATAATAATAATAATAATAATAATAATAATAATAATAATAATAATAATAAAATACAGTTAAATATTTAAATATATTTAATAAAATAAGTAAATTATTTTTAAATATTATTAAAATTTTACATATTATATTCTTAAATATATTTTAATATTAATAAATTTGCGCGAGTAAAAAAACTAGTTTAACAGTATTTTATTATTATTATTATTATTATTTTAACAAATCACTGTTTTAATAATATTTAATATTGCTGGGCTTATTTAATAATATAATATCTAAATAAGCCGAAATATATTATATATATTACTAATTTTATCCATCGGCTTTGAATTAGGGTTAAATGATTGCCAAAAAGAAAGAAATAAGAATTAGGGTTCTCTTTTTCGATTGATTCGCAAAGCAAGGAGGCCCCTGTTTCAATCGTCGTTAAGTGGCAGAGAAGGTAAGCAGGCTCTTTTATCTTATCCTCGGATCAATACATTCAATTTTGGGTATAATTGTAGTCCCATTAAATTAATTAAATACCTTAATTTCAATCTGGTTTCTCTTTGTACTGAAATTCGATTTGCCTCGCATCACAATTGCTTTGCGATCTGAAATTTATGGTCTTGTTAATTTTCTTTTCTTGTTTGTAAGTTTAAACCTAAGTTCAGTTTCCGCGTTATGTTTACGTCCGGCTATGGCTTTTGTTGACCCCAAATTCCGATTTTTACATAACCTACTAAATTATACGCTGGTGATTTTCCATTGAATTTTAGAATTGAATATCTATGGGAGGCCATGGTGGGTTAAATATTTTGCCCCAGAAACGTTGGAATGTTTATAACTACGAGAACAGAGAAAAAGTACGTAAAGATGAAGAAGCCGCTGCTAAAGAAGAGCAGCTAAAACGTGAACAGGCAAGGAAAAGGGATGCCGAGTTCCGACTTGAGCAGCTTCGGGCTGCTCGTGGTTTGGCTCCATTAAATAAACCTGGAGGTTCAGAATCTGCTGCCGAAGAGCCTGAAGAGGTTGTGGAATCCGAACCCAAATCCGGTCACATTAATCTCTTTGAAGGGATTAAGATTTTTGATCCCGTTAAAGTCTCGGGGAAGGAAGAGGGTGCCGAGAAAGATGGGTTCAAGAGGAAGAAATTGAAGAAAGAGGAGGCACCCAAGGTTGTGGCGCCAGAGGACGAGAAGTATAGATTGGGTTATGGGATTGCTGGAAAGGGAGTTAAGTTGCCGTGGTACCTGGAGAAGCGGAATGTAGATGTTGAAGAGGGGAGTGGCAATGATAGGTCAGAAAGAGTGCAGAAGGATGATGGAAGGAAAACCGGGAAGAAAACAATAGAAGAGTTGCGGGAAGAACGTTTGAAGAGGGAGAGGCGAGAGAAGGAGAGAGAGCGGGCATTGTTAGTCAAGGGGACCAAAACGAATAGGGCTCTGAAGGATACAAGGTTTTCCAGGAGGTGAGTTTGCAGAGGCCAAAGCTCAGCAGTTTCATGTTTCTAAATGTTCAAATTGTAGAGTTGTATGAACTTGGGGTCTAACTGGCCTTTTGATATCTGTGAGAACATCATTGATTTATGAATTTTTTTCAATATCAAATTTCACCATATTTTGTAATAGCTGCTTTTGATGCTTACGTGTGAAAGTTACCATTTCTTTACCAAATTATTGCAAATTGTATGCTTTGATGGTATCATTTGTTAGAATTGTAACTTCAATCATAGTTTAATCTTTGCCTCTGTCTTTGCAAGTTGTATACTTTGATGGTATCATTTGTTAGAATTGTAACTTCAATCATAGTTTAATCTTTGCCCCTGTCTTTCCGTGCCATTATCTTGTTTCATGTAAGATAACCCCAAGAATACTGGCATGTTCTCCTTAGATCATCCAGATTTTCGAGTAGGCATTGTCAGTAAGGTTTATCTGAATTTCATTCTATTTAAAAATAGAACAAATACTATCACGAGAATACTTAAAAAATACGTATTTTTCTAAATTATAACCTTATGAGAATATTTAAAAAAATATGTATTTTTCTAAATTATAGCCTAAAGTTTGTTGAACAAGTCATCTCAATCTGATTAGGTCTAATACGAAAGATTCTAAGCCTAAATATATTAGTTTACTCTTAAATTGAGGTAGGCCTTGGTCCCCATCTCCCCTGTTTCATGGTGCAAAGCTAAAGATAAAGCGTTAAGGAAGCTTTCAGAATTCTCAACTTAATAATATTCTGATGCACCATCCAATAGATTAAAATATCATTTGGTCCATTCCGCAGTTTAGCTTTTCCATTGTTCATTTATATCAACAAGTTTATTTAAGAAAAACAAAGCTTTTAAAATTGGTTGTCATTATATATATAACCATGTTGAGAACATGAAGGTGTCGCAAAGGTAGAAGCTTGGTGGCCATAGCATGCCAAATCTATCCAGTTCCTTCTTCTGGAGGGATTGATTGTTTGAAGTAAAAAGACGTCGTAAATTTGTAAGAAACCTGGTTGAGGGAGAGAGTTCATCATCGCAGAAGCGGAGCAGAGACTTTGTTTCGACTGTTTTATGGCATTGTATAATAACACTCTCTTGCATTTTTTGAGGACCTGGCGCTCCCGTCGGTATGTTTTCTGGGTCACTTCCTTTATATCAAAGTTTGTAGCCATCAATTTCCAGCTTTGCTTCATCGTTGCCCATAGTTTACTCTGCGTATCACGTTATATTGTTTCCCAAACTTTTAGGGACAATACCTTTTGGTTTTCTTCATTGAGATCTGCAGATTTCTTCAACATATTTTTGGACGCTTCCTCTATGATTCCGATGTTTCTAAATCGAATTTGTATAACGAAAAGGGCCAACTTTAAGCTTCTGCAAACTCGAAACAAGAATGGATAGTTTAATCCCAGTAATTGCAGCAGTGTGAATTGCACACGGGAAACCATTGCCGTTTTAGAGTTCTAATTCAGTTATTCAGAAAACAATTTTGCATAAACTTCAGTTTCAGGTTATAGTGATGACTGCAAACATGGGGTGCGCTGAATGCCGAACGGAAGTCTCTCAAGTTTTATCTAAACTAACTAGTAGGCAATTTTATGGTGGATGTATGCAGTTCGATTTGATTAATTTTCTTTTTTAAAATGAAAACCATCTTTTGATTTTCGGTTCGATTAATTTTAATTATCAAATTTTCATATAAAGTGTGTGTTGAAGTGTTTATATTTTATTTTAAAAAAATAACGTTGTTTTATGACTTTAAAACATTATTTATTAAAATTTTTAACTCGTTTCATAAATGCTCCTCAAAATATGATCTCTTGAAGTTAATTTAAATTAAATATAAAGTCAAATCCTCTTTTACTTAGCTAATCATAAATCGTCCAACCATTTTGATTCACATCAGCTTTCTGTTAATCGTAATCTGTTGCTCAGCCCTACTGTTATGGGTAAACCTCTTTATCACAGGAAGCTTCATTCTAGAATAAAGCAAATTATTATTTTTTCTTCAAACTTGCAGGACTGAGGGAGTACATAGTGGATGTGAGCAGTACACAAGAGATTATAAAGGCAGATTTTGGGATTCGTTGGGAAGTGAAAAATGATCTTTCTAAACCAGAATGAGAGAGCATTGCCATCCACTTGATGTCTTCAAGTGTCTGTCCCCAGTATATGTCGGGGAATGATGGCAAATCTGAGCTCTCCCCAGGTCCCAGAATGTTGGACACATCACTGTGTTTCATTTACATTTGTAATAATCAAAATCATTCTTTATGAAAATATAAATTTATCTGCATAAACATGTTATTACTAGATTCAATATTGATAAATAACTTGAGCATCTATAAATAGGAACTAACAGTACCCGGCTTTACTAATTTCCACAAACCTAACTAGTAAAAGCCAATTGAAGGTGAAGCAGCAGGTTCAAAGACCATTAAGTTCTCTTCCCTTTTCCTTCATCATACTTTTCAAGTGAAGGTAAGCTGAAGAGAAATACTCTGAAGAACCTAGGAGATGGTAGCTTATGACTTCTTCATGATATATCCCATAATTATGCCGAGCAAGCCGATCAAAATGACAAAAATGACTGACAAGCCACCGCCGCTTTTGCTGCCTTCATGCCTCAGAAGTTCCTAAAACGTTTTGAATCATTGTATGTAAGAAGTCCCTAAAAGAACATAAGACGATATATGCTTTGAGAAATAGTGAAAACAAAGAGCTTTCCAATGCAGTCTCCTATACACAGATTATTACTTACTAAGTTGATCATTCACAACGGAAGAAAAGGGCAGGGAAGCACAGAAAAATACCAGAATAACTAAAAAGCAAAATATGAAGTGTTTTTTGCTGCATACGTGCAAGCATCAGTCTAGAAGGAACTAGGGAAGGAGAGAACTGATAATACTTCTATCATACACATTAATCATAATACATATTGGTTAAAAAGTCATGATCAATTTTCCCTCACCAGTTCTTGGCGAAGCTTGTTATTTTTTTGAATTGCCTTATTTTTTTCCTCGGTCAGTTTTGTTACAAGAGCTCTTGCCTGCAATTATAAAAAGTATCATCAAGGGTTATTACATTTGTGCTGTATCAACATCGCATTAAATGTAAGTCATTTAGTAAAAAGTATCATCGAGGGTTATTACATTTGTGCTGTATCAACATCGCATTAAATGTACGTCATTTAGTAATAAAAAAATGTTTTGGGCTCCAATGGTGCAAAATCTGGCTAAAATAATTGCCAGATGCATTCGATGGAAAACTCCATGTGATGCCTCCCTGCTTAAGGGTGATAATTACAAACTACTGAACCATAGGTTTAGGCTTAGAAGCTCACAAATATACATAGTAGGTCAATACATTTTGGTCTGACCAATTATTCATCTAATGACAGAGCAACTGAGCAAATGAATGAAGTTAATTGACCTTGAAGATATGAAACTTACTCTATTCAGATTACCAAAATAAATTACTATTATCAAGATAAAATGAAATCAATCGTGCATATGCAGAAACACACGGTGAATCAGAAGATTTAAAATTAAAAATACCTCAGAAGACATATCTTGAGCTGCAAGCCCTTCGGTAAATGCTCTTGCACCCTGCATTCAGCAACAGAATCTAAACTACTACCAAAATAATAAAGATAACAAGTAATAACAAAAGCAAATGCAGGAAAATCTTACTGAAGCAAACTCAGCAGCATTTGCATGCCTGCCATCTGAATCAGAGACTCCCGCTGAAGATCCCTCTTCAGACCCTTCTTGAACTGGTGGTGGAGAAACATAAACCACTCTCAATTTGCACTCCTCGACTACATGTCCAGCTTCTTTGTTGAACTATAACATGAAACACTCCCCATAGATAATAAGCTGCACATATTTCCTAATGTTGAAATTGTAAATAAGATCATGTAAAATAAATAGTCACCTACCATTTCTGCAGTTATATCCTTTGTCGTTACACCATCATTCACTTTGACACTTTGAAGGAGGAATTTGTCCCTGCATTGCATATCAGGTGGAGCTTCCTTTTGCGCTTGCATTGTAACTAAATCAAAATCAACCATTGTACTAGAGTTTATTCTGAATCCAATAATGAGTAGAGATAGAACCAGTAAAATATAAAGTAAAATACAATTAATTTAGTGTACCCATAACTTCACATGTGGATCGAGGCAAGACGACCCCTGCGTTGGGACGGACGCAATACTTCTTTGGATTTGTTGTTTTCACCTGAAAACAAAACCAATTGTAACTCAAAAAGGAAACGTACAACATCAATTTGAGATTTAAACCTTAAAAATCAAAGCTTTTCAGGTTCGAAACGTTGATCCATTCGTTATTCCTGATTTTGTTCATCAACCAAACTTAGGCGTACGGCGTCGCATTATTTAAGCGTAAGAAGATCATGATAAATCAAAGATCAAAGTTACAAAACTATATTGAAAGGGGGAATTCGAAGCTGATAAATAAAGATGCGCACCTTGAAAGCTACATAATTATCAGTTTTATTCGACAATTGAAGAGAACACGAGATCTGCTTCCTCAGCTCAACTATTCACCAAAAACACAAGAACATGAAGAAACAAATCAAAACAAATTGAAAACCGTAGATCTTGAAGGGAAAATAAATGAACACACAAGTAAACTTGAGCTCAGAAGGCTCGCTGGTGAGAAGTTCGCCCGTGCTCATTTGGAAGTTACGGCTGTGTGAATTGAGAACAATCGCTTTTGGAAAGGATCTGAAAATTAATTATGTGTTTGGCTTCTTTTTAATTAGTGAAGAACAATCTCTCCTCTCCTCGTATTTTTGGACTCCTTTTTGAGTTTTTTCCCTATTATTCTGATAAAAGTACTGATAATGTATTATTTTTTTAATTTAAATTTTTATTTATAATTTATAATATATATTTTATTTATATATATTTAAAATATTAATTTTCATCTGACTAAATTCTTTGAGAAGATTATCAAATATCCCCTAATATAAAAAAGGTATGAGTATTTAAAAAAATATGAACTGATAAATCCTTATTTTAATAATAAATAATAAATAAAATAAAATTGAAGTCTCTGAACTGATAAGTTTTCCAATTTAATTTCAATATCTTTATTCATATTTAATTTTAAACTAAACAACCTTTTTTTAATCCGTTTGATGATAAAATATTCCAAATAATCACATCTCCAAGAAGAAAACAAGAATAAAAACAATTCAAGTGATAGTTGCCAAGTTTCAACAAGGACTTGGCCAACGTGGAATCGCCTCGTAGGGGAGCACATGAACCATTTCTCTCTCTACCTTGAGCTCTTCAAGCAACAAAGGAAAATATGCATCCGGCTTGGTCATAATTGTAAGTTCAAGCATTCAGATCTTTAATATGCTGTGCAAGCCCTCTAACTAAGGACCTATCAAACCAAAACAGAAGCAAAGATTACTAACAAAAATGATCTGATTTGGACTACCAAGCATGACATATTTGTGCCACTCACCATCTTGGTGTCCTCAAGTGCCCACTTCCAATGCATCAATTTTCTGTCCCATAAAGATGACCAAAATCATTGGCATCGGATCTTATTTGTGTTGTCAGAGACGAGAGGTGTGAAATTGTACCTACTTTACTGGTCTCTGCAAGGGCAGCCTCCAGTGCCTTGAGCTCTGCTGCTGCAAATTTATCATTCACTGCACTTTCCTCCTTTCTCAAGTCGTCTGCTTTAATTCTGTCATTATCCTGCTTAGAGATGCTTACTGTATCATGCATCAAAGGATCTCCTGAAGCTAGGCCACCATTTCCTTCTTTATTGGTCTCTTCTGTTGCAGAAATTGCCTGTAATATAATAAATGACAACATTAAGGATCATGCTGTAGTGCATATGTGAAGTCGTGTTAATTGACAATCTACCAAGTTGGAGTCAACCTTAAGCTTCTCTGTAATTTCTGGATTCTTCCAGGGTCCTTTATCACTAAGCAAGCAACCCCCACAGTCGGCACATGTACAGCTTCCGCCAAGAAATGTCGGCAAATTACTGTTGAGTTCAGGGCTTAAAAGCATAAATACATTACATATATGTGGACATACGTCCACAACTGCCAACTTTGCTACATGAATAGTAGACATGAGAATGATGAATTACCTAGGATCAATCACTTCAATTAGGTTGCTAAGGTAATTGGATCCCAGCACCTGAAACATCAATGTCAATTAATATTCAAATGTGACAAAGGGAATCGATTTCTGGAGTACGTACATGAATTTCGCCAAGGTTCGTGCATCCATAAAGGCCCTGATGACCTTCCAAAGCATCCTGAACCCAGACCCAGCATTGACAATGAAGAGCCGGTTTAGTGTCTGCAAGAACAAATATAGTTAACCAAAATTACCTTAATAATATAATGAACATGACCTAATAAGTTCTGAGCTGTGAAGTTCAAGAGTACAATTGGAAGAACCGGTTGTGTCTGCATACTGAACAAATTTCTACTGTGATAAAAGCTAATGGAACAGAGATTTGCGGACTAATTGCCTCAAATAATGGCTAACAATCAGTTACAACTAGCGTGCATCCTGATCCTAGCCTTTGGCTAATCGGTCAACACATCGTTGCTAGTAATTGAACCTTACAAGTTAACCATTCCCACAATCTTCTTCTCCCTAGTTTATCCAATCTAAACCAGGGAAATAAAATGGAATTGAACTTACCTCTGGGTAGTAATTGCTGTCAATCGTCTGAATTTCCATGAAGAGATATCTTGCAGGCTTTGAGAAATTAGACATTCCCTTGACAGAAATAACACTCAGATAAATTTAAAACTCACTATTAGGAAGTATTTTCGTAGTAAATTAGATCAATTATCATGCTCCAACATACTGATGTAAATACTGTAATAGAAAATAGGCCATATCACGAGTAAAAAAGCATCGATCTCGATCAATGTATCATACTATGATGCAACTTCCAGACATGAAGAGATATCTTGCAGGCTTTGAGAAATTAGACATTCCCTTGACAGAAATAACACTCAGATAAATTTAAAACTCACTATTAGGAAGTATTTTCGTAGTAAATTAGATCAATTATCATGCTCCAACATACTGATGTAAATACTGTAATAGAAAATAGGCCATATCACGAGTAAAAAAGCATCGATCTCGATCAATGCGTATCATACTATGATGCAACTTCCAGACATGATTATAAACAAGTAGAACTCTTCAGCAAGAAAAAAACAAGTAGAACTCTTCAGCAAGAAAAAACAATATAAAGCTTTCATGTTTCTCCTTTTAAAGATGCAAAAGATTGGGGGTGAAGTTAAGAAGGGAATAGATGCTTACAACTCCCTTCACGTCTAAGATACTTGTTGGATGCTATGTGCCTCTTGGCTGCAATTGAGCATGCAGGAATCTTAAATTTAGTGTTTTCTCTTGTTCCGATACATGATACTTAACAAATCTGTCTATGCTGGTCACTTGAAGCAATGCATTCAGGTCTACCATCCCGACCCTTTCTATGTATACCGGTCTACCACTTCGATCGACACCATGAAATCCATGAGGATAGCATTTCTTCACCTCTGCAAGCTCGTTGAACTTAAAGTCCTGGATGGCAGATTTAAATGAGAAGACAATGAGATGTGTGCAAAAACTTCATGCATAAAAAGGTAAGATATAGCTTGAACTTCACTTGCCTTTTGTATTGTATCAACTCCATAGTTCTTGCGCCATTGGAGATAATTCAGAAACATTTCTTTTTCTTTTTGCAGATCAAAATCTCTCATTCTTAGAAACCTAACTGATATATATATATATAGAAGGCATTCATTCATTCTTCCATTAATATGAACATTGTCATTCACTTTACCGTAGAAGTGTATGATAGTCATTGCGCTTTGCCGGTAACTGATCCTCAAGAAAAAGTAATTCACAGAAAGACTGAACAATTTGTTCGTCTTTCGGATCGTGAGTTCCTTCAAGGATCGTTTCCATGCTTTTGCTCTTCCGGAGTCTCTTCAATGAATCACGAATCTTGAGTGGATACAAAAGCACAGACTTAAGCCCCGATGAACTCGTCGGCTTTCTCGGATTCTTGAGGCGGGGGAGGAGGGAGGAGGAAATGAGTTTCGATCGGCGGATGTATCGGCTTGTTCATCACCTTCGGAAACTGATTTGTGTCTCTACAGGGAGAGTCCTCACTGTCTTCTCCACCACCTCTTTCTATAACTATTTCCCTGTATCTCTCATTTGATTTATACATATTCAACACACACACACACAAAACTTTTCAAGCAATGAAAATGGTATAAAACAAATTAAACAATCAATGTCCTAACCTGCTACAATTACAACATGTGATTGAACAAAATTCAATGTTCCATATACACCTCTCCTGCAGTTTTCATAAATAACCTTTACAAAATGTGAAACGTCTAGAGAATTAAGAAGACAAAAAAGTGGGAAACTCTTCCTTAAACAAAATCTACTGGAAATCAAAGTAAAAGCAATGCCAAAAGTGATGGCCAAAGTTTCAAGAGAATAGGAAAACAAATGAAATGAATCAAACAGCAATGTATGACGTTGTCCTTTCTACCGAATAAAAAGGAAGGTGATGCTTTGGTGCAAAAATGTATGTGAATGAATAATCTTAATTCACAAGGAATCCTTTTGCTTACAGAATTTATACTTTGGTATCTCAGTTTCCTCTCAAAGCAGGAAAACGCCTAGAAACACAAAGGCTCCAATCCAATGGAGGAACTTCATGAAGCAGGAATCTTCCCAAACCCATAGTAGAGATGCAATATTAGCCCAGTGATTTTTGCATTTGGGTTGGGTTTTCCCCATTACGCCAGGTGGGCTCATTATATAGCATAACACTGCCCTAAATAAATATTTTTAGATCTACGACAAATGTTATACAGTGCAAGGCGATCTCGTCATGCCCAAATGATGAGTTTGTTTAAATAATATTTTTTATTCAAGCTCGTCACCTCAACGTGACGAATTTCAAGTCACTGTAACAAATGTCGTAGTTTTCTTTTTTGTCACGTCGGAATGACAAATTCTAATAAAAAATATTTTTTATTAAAACTTGTCACCTTGACGTGAAAACTTCAAGTCATTGTAACAAATGTATTAGTTTCCAAAATTATTTCCTTGAGACGGTTTTTTCCCCATTAATACTCTACCGTTAAAAACTTTAGTTTTTGTTTTATTTTAGTATCTCGTTCAAAATTTGACGTTAAGTTTTGAAAAAAAAATTAAAAGTTTAGATACTAAAATGATCAAAACTGATAGTTTAGTTACTAAACGTATTAATTTTTTTAATGGAATGATACTAAAATGAAATGAAAACTATAATAATTGAACTCGGACAAAACCAGGTCCTTGATCCAAACCGCACTAAAGCTCGTAGCAATCTGATCGATTCTCGCGGCCTATTTAGTTCCCCTCGCCATTATTCCTCGCACAATTCACCCGCTAGTATGCTGGACACTGTATTTCCTCGGTTCCATTGCTCTGTCATCAATAACGATCAACTCGTTCTTACTGCCTGCCGTTCAAGTTTACGTTCCATTGATTGGGATTTTCGGTTCTCTTCTGGTCATGGCACGTCCCTATCGCTTTAGCTGTTTTCGGCTATGCGTTTTGTTTCGCTCCTATCGCTTGGGGTTGGACGGTTAAGGTATTGGTTCGTCTGCATGTCTCGCTTGAAAGGGAACAGTTTTTCCCAAAAATGGCTGAATCTTCACCGCCTCCGGGCTTCAACAAGCTGTG